TGGGTATGGGAGACAGATGCATTTACATCAAAGGATTCATCGTTGTGAAGGACAGACCTACATCACCAAAATAAGACAGGGGATGGAGGAGTCGTAAAATTCTCGTGGAAGTCCATTCCAATCCCACAAGCGCAATTTCGGAAACACTGGTTTTGTTATTGCAGAGCGTCTCGGATTGTTTGATAGATGCTCTCCTGCGGGCAGAGCTGCACCTTGGTGTTTTTGTTGGAAGAAACTCACCAGCCACGCTAGATACAAAACCGCAACAGGCCTTCGCGTTTCTAGCAACTAAAGGCTTGCCATTAAAACAGAATGAAGCGCACACACTGCAAGCAAACTTTAGAGTTCTCCTCCCTCCATCACGGAGAAGGACTTGACAATTCACGTCAAAGTTCCCTGCTGCTCCTTCCAGCTGCTCAGAAAATCCTTCTCAGTTGTGGCCCTGAAACACGGTACTGTAGACATGATGACAGCGGGCTTGCAGTGCTTGGTGATCAGGACCATAAATGAGAAGGATTTGTGGGCCAGATGTAAGGACCAACAGGCAGGGGCCCTGGTGACACTGATGATAAGTCTTGGGCCGCTAATGGCAAGGTGAATGGTTCAAACCCACCAGTCATTCTGAGGGAGAGAGATAGGCCGTCTGCTCCCAGGAAGATTTACAAAACTCAGAAACCCACTAGGGCAGTGGTTCTCAACCTTCCTAATGCTGCAACCCTTGAATACAGTTCCTCATGATGTGGTGACTCCACAACCATAAATTTATTTTCGTTGCTACTTCCTCACTGTTATTTTGCTACTGTTATGAATCAGGCGACCCCTGTGAAAGAGTTCTTCAACCCCCAAAGGGGTCACGACCCCCAGGTTGAGAACCGCTGCTCTAGGGTCACTGTGAATGAGAACGGACTTGATGACCATGGATTCAGGTTCAGATTGGTGTAGAACTGCTCCATGGGGTTTCAGAGCTGTGGTCTTTTGGAAGGAGATCGCCAGACCTTTCTGTTCCAAAGAATTTCTGGGTGGGTTCGAACCACTACCTTTGCGTTAGTCTCTGCCTAAGTAACAATATGTGTCCCCTCCCTGCCCTGGGATTCCTATAGCCATGGTAGAGTCTTCTGGTTTACTCTCTCTGCTGTATGAACATTAACCAACGTGGGATCTAGAAAAGCAATTCCACAACTTCCGTGCTAAAAAAAGAACATCTGACAACTCTGATGTCCACGAGTGATATAGAAAACATGGAGAAAAATGTCCTTCCTGCTGTGCAAAGTGGTAAATCAGTTTCCATGATCTCGAGAAAGCTGCTCCTTTGAGATGAGTTCGAAGCCTCATGTGGACCTTCCTAAGATTCCTGGACGGTCACGGTAGCAGCGAGAGTCCCCTGTCATCATGAATCAGCTGGGCTTTTGCCTTTTATGAACTGCTTTGAGATCCAGACTCTCATGACACCTGGGAGAAGTAGGAGAGGGTTCTTAAAGTAGTCTGTGACCAAGCTGGGACATGAAACAAGGGAAAACATGTACAATCAGGGGACTGGAACTGTGAGAAGTTTAATGTGTGAAGATCTTGGAGAAACCGGTAAAACACAGCAAGACAAGACAGTGGAGAATAAGTAGTGCCTTTTCTTTCCCCGGGAGAAATGAGATAAGGCTTCACAGAACTTCTACAGATTTTCACTTTTTCCAGACCACTCAGGGCTGGAGGAAGGAGGGAGGACCCCAGGAGAGAGAACGCAATTCTGCCCCCTCCGGGTCTGCACCCACTCTCTCACATACACACACTCAGTCCTTGTCCTCCCAAGCGGCAAGAAGCCAGGCCTTCTTGGGTGTCTAGAGCAAAGGGCCACTTGCACATGCTCCACCCCAAAACCTCTCAGGACAGAAAATAAAGAGCAATCTCCTCTCAGCTGGTCAGCTCTCATCTTCGCATCCATGAGAAAGATAGGGCGGCAAGCCTGCTTAATCTTTTCCAGGTGGATTCCAGGTAGGGAATCAGAACTGAGGGCCTACGGAACTGGGGGGCTGCGTAAGAAAAGGTGTCCTTGTAAGCGTTTGCTATGGGTGTTTAAAAGGAAAGTTTGCTAATTGCCTCCATGAACGGTGGCCTCCTTTGCTATAAAACCAAGAGAACTGATGATCCTTGCTACTATGACTCCAGCCTAGTTTTATCAGTGATTCTCAAGAGGACTCTTGATCCAAAGAGGCAAAATATAGACTAAAATGTTACATTCCTACAGATGCAAAACTGTCTGGAGCCATGGAGATGATCTAAACCCTCGGAAATTTGGCCCTGAGATCATCTTGAAGCTTTAGACCTAAACTATCTCCTAACGTCTTCTGAAAACCGGACGGTGGTGTTTGTTGTGGTGGTGGTTAGGGGCCATCGCGTCCATTCCGACTTCAGGGCATCCCTGTGGAGAAGAGACTGCCACGCTGCCTGATTCTGCGACATCCTCCCAGCTGTAAGGTTTGAGCCCCCAGTGGCAGCTCAATGAGGTGTCGATCCACCTCGTTGAGAATCTTCCTCTTTTTTGCTACCCCTCTGCCTCACCAAGCATGATGTCCCTTTCCACGGTGCCCTCTCTTGATCACATGTCCACAGGACTGGAGACAGCATCTTGCCATACTTGCTTCTCAGTAATATTTATTCTCGCTGTACTTCTTCTGAGACAGATTTGTTTGTTCTTTGTACTTTTAATATTCTTCATCAACATCACATTTCAAGTTCATTCATTCTTCTTTCCCTTCCTTATTCATTGCCTAACTTCCAGATGCACATGACAAGACCATGGCTTGAGTCAGACACATCAAAGTGACATCCTTGCTCTTCAACGCTTTGAAGAGGCCTTGCACATCAGATGTGCCCAATGTCCCAGTAACGGTCTCTTTGAAATAATTAACAGGTCATATGAGAATCAAAACTCCGTGCACACACACGGAGAAGATTTGTCTTCTCCAGCTTGAGGCCTCCCACAGGCTGGCAGCCCACCGGAGGGGAAGAGGACGATGTGGTCACCTGTCGCCTCTGGTTACCTTATCAGCTACTCCCATTTCTCCTGGAGGGAGCATTCTCTCACCCCCTCACCTGTTATGGACGAGCTCACCTCCGGAACCCACCCAGGCTCCTGGCAATGGACTTCCTTGGAAAACCCTAAGGAACAGCCCTGGCAACTTGCACCAAGCACCATGTCCCTGCAACACATATATTGAGCCATCAGGTTTGGAGACGAGAGAGAGAGCAATAACAAACATTCAAATGAAAGTGGTTGTTTGTTTGGGATTTTTTTTGGTGGGGGGCATAGATGATACCTGGTTTGGGGTTTCTCTATGTTTGCCAGATGTTTAAAATGGACAGATGTGCTTGACACAATGGATGGATGGATGGATTATGATAAGAGCTGTACAAGCCCCCCATAAAATGATTAAAACAAAAAACAACCACAACAAAAACCGGACTCTGTCATATGGGAATTTTCATGTTATCCAACCACATTGTCCTCTCTTGATAGTTTGTCCAATGGCTTATGCGCATTCAAGATCAGAACCCAAGGGAGGCCAGAATTCAGAGGGTCAGGAAAGATGGAGGCATGGGAACTGGGAACCGGGGAAGAAGGGGCTGCTGAGAGTACATGGAGGGGCTGCAGGGAAGGAGCTGGAGCCCTGTGTGGACTGCTGAGTGTAAAACAGATGAGCTGCGCTGTAAATCTTCACCTCATTTACACTAAACATTTCAGTTTTAAAAATTCAGTGAGGACCCCACTGTGTGTCACACACAGTGCCAGACCCTAGTATATTTGTCTCAACTAGACGAACCTAAACAGGACATACATTTTTGGCTTATATAATCATTTAGCTTTAACTGTTCTGCTGGAATTGGTTATCAATTACTTTACAAGGTAATTGCTATTGTAAAAGAAGGCTAGGTCACTGATAATTTCATTTCGAGTGATATTTGATATATGCTCTGAAGTATGTTACCTTCAATATAGCATGCACTTTGAACCTGTAAGTAGAATAATTAGCTTCGGAAAGCCTACACATGTATTCTTAAAATAAAATAAAATGTGCTTCCAAATGGTAATGGAAGACAGCATAGGTAGGCTTACTACGTCTTCACTCATTGATAGCCAGGAGCGGAGCTTAGGAGTTTTTGAAGAGAGAAGCCAGAAGAGCCGGACTTCAGAGGCTGATCTCTTGAACTTTAAACTGCCACATCATAGGAGGAAATTGGTTGTAAGATAAGAAACAGAATAAATTCTCTTAGCGCAGACCCGAATCTCTGCTCACCGAGAGGTTGACTCCACTGAAGACCATGGCATTCAATGGAACTTGGAAGGTTGACCGGAATGAGAACTATGACAAGTTCATGGAAAAACTGGGTAAGACCTTCACTCTCGCTCTTGGAGTTACCACCGGCATTTTTCTCTTCATTTCCCTTCTAAAGCTCTGCCTCTGGAGAGTAGAGTCTAGTGTAACAGTAAAGTCCCAAAGTGTAACAGTTACGGGGCGGAAAGACCACATCTCACTTATCCTAGGAAAATGACCTTTCTGTGAGTCTTAGTCCTTGAAATGCCGTGTGTGTGTGTGTGTGTGTGTGTGTGTGTGTGTGTGTTTTATCACCTTATTGATTTCACCTTATCATTACAAATTCATGTTTCATGTGTGTGTAAAGTTAAAAAAGGGGGTGGGAGCATGTGATGATTACAGTCCGGTTTTTGTTGAAATGTTGGGACAGACAGAAGAATAAAAAGATAGGAAAACAATAGGAAGCCAGCTAAGCTGAAAGCAGGCATGATGGTCTAATAGGGTAAACCCTGGGCGGCTAATGGCAAGGCTGGTGGTTCAACCCCACCAGCTACTACGTGGAACAAGAGTCTCATAAACTCTATTCAGTCCTAAACTACTGTTTCTTCTGATTTACAAAATCTCAGAAATAATCTTATGATGCTCTGTATTTTTTTAGGGAATTTAATTTAACTGATTTAAAAATCGATGTTGATTATGTAGCAGCACAAAAACTGTAGACCAAAGACAAATTTGTATCAATTCCAAAAAGTTTGTATCATTGATATCCTATAGATAAAGCATTACGCATTCCCATTTATGATCAATAGATACTCTTCCAATAATAGAGTTGAGTGTGAAGCTTGCTAATTTTTTATCAGTGAGAAATATCCCCAAAAGCAAAGAGAAATTGTCAATGTTTTAAGTTATTATGGCAAGAAAAGAGACATTTTAAAAAGAATACAGGACAGTCAGAGTAAGGGGATGCGTCTTTATAAACACGCAGATCTATTTTGTCGTCTGTCTTTGGACATTTCTGGGGTTTGGTTTATTTCACACCCAGGTGAGCATTGAACTGCTAACCACAGTACACCAGCAGCTCTGAGCAAGAAAGATGAGGCTGCCTGCGCCCGTAAAGAGCCACAGCCTCAGACATCCTGTCAAAGGTGGCTGAGTTGCAATGGACCAGATGGCAGTGGGTAACACTGAAATAAGAAACGCTGGTGGCACAGTGGGCTAAGCATTGGGCTGCGAACCAGAAAGTCTGCAGTTGGAGCCCAGCAGCCACTCCTTGGGAGAAGATGAGGCATCTTGCTTCTGGAAAGAGTTGGTCTAGGAAACTCGAGAGAGAATTTCAACTCTGCCCTCCTAGGACATTGTGAGTTAGAACGGACGCAACAGCAGTGGATGACATAAAACTGTTCACTCGTCTTATTCAAATTACTCAGCTCGAAGATGTTATAAGTCTGCGTTTCCTTTAGGTTTTCTTGCTTTTGGAAAGCAATCTTCGTAGCCTTCTTTGAATTTGATAGAATTTGGACTTTTTCCACAGAATGCTATTATGCCATCGCAACGCTATTAGGCAAAGAAGACACTGTATATCAGGCTTTCCTCTTCATGCTTAACAACTGAGAAGCATAAAAATAAAAAATAACCGAACTTGAAAAATAAATTTTGTATAACATTGTGTTTGTATGTCCCCCATCTCGTTCTCTTTGCAGGTATCAATATGGTGAAAAGAAAGCTTGCTGCTCATGACAATTTGAAACTGATCATTACACAAGATGGAAATAAAATCAAAATCAAGGAATCAAGCAATTTTAGGACCATTGAAATTGAGTTTGAGCTTGGAGTCAATTTTAACTACACCATGGCGGATGGAACGGAACTCTCGGTGAGACCTTTTTTTATCAGCAATGCATTCTCTGTGACACCCCACTAAAGCCACCACCGTCTTGTCGCATTGAATGACTGCAGGAGGGCAGCTCACCTTCATTTAGAAGGAAGCCGGTGGAGTTTTGCATGCTTACATACTACCCTCTTGAAAGAATACAGAAGTGTTTTCATACACATCTGTGAAGACCTTGGATTGAGCAAGAAGAATTAGGGGGAAACAGCATTAGAATGACTGTGTCTGGGATTTTTTAGAAACAAACCTAAAGCCAGTGTTTCAACCTTACGTGCCTGGCAGTGAAACAAGCTACTAGACTAACATGAACTCTCCCGCCAAACAAACAAACACGAGGAGCCCTGGTGGCGCTGTTGGGTGAGCATTGGAGTGCTACCTAACTGCAAAGTGTCCCACAGTTCAAACCCACCAGCCACTTCATGGGAGACAGATGAGGCTAACTGAGCAAAGGGGTCAAAACACACACAGGAAGGATTTCTAAATATGAGTCATTTCAGGCTCACAAAATGTTTAGAAACAATAGCAGCTTCGAAAACATATGTCCTCTTAGCTTCATCTGAGAAATTTCAAATTTGTTTAAAATACATAATGATGCGGCACAATGTCATGTGGCCATATCTTTTATGCTCTCTTTGCAAAACTATGAAATATTTAAGATGTTTCTAAAGTAGAGAAAATGAAACATTCTCTTGAGTTGAACACAGTACAAAGGAAGAGGGATAAAGTATCAACTTACTAGGGATAAAAATAGTACATCATAAAATGATTATTGAAAAAATAGTACAAAAAAATAAAAAATAGTATATCTATAGATAATGTCCGTATGCAGTTGTAGACTACCCTTCTCTCTCTCTCTCTCTCTCTCTCTCTCTCTCTCTCTCCTCCTGTTCCTCTCTTTCTATTTACCTGCATCTCTCTTTTCTAACATGGAATGGTTTCATTCATGCAGATTACCTGGTGCCTATGCCTATCTTATTTCAATGTGATCCCAGGCTCTAAACCAACAACTCCCTCCAAACACGTTGAAACTTAAGTACGCTTTGAATATAATCTTGGTATCTTAAAATGTATTGTGCTACTTACCTTTCCCTTGTTAGGTATGCTTAGCGTAGCTGGCTTCTTCTCACCTTGACAACTAGAGCTTTTAGACAATTAGAAGCTTGGTATTTCATAACTATTAAAGTAGTAGGCAGTTAATAATTGTATTCAAATAGTGAAATGGATGACTAAATTTGTGAATGAATGAGTAATCAAATAAAAAGATCTAATGCTATACTGTAGATCATTCGAAATGTACCTTAGAATGTTTGGAATAGAATATTTTAGGGAATTAATTTTCAAAGGATGGTCACTTATTTTTAGCCTCAGGATTAATTTCCCGTTAGTAAACTATGTAGGTTTACAATGACAATATAACTTGAGTTATATATATTGTACAATATATATTGTATATATGCTATACATATTGTATATATGTTATATATACAATATATATTGAATACCAGCTAAAGTCGTTCTACCACAACCATGCGAATTAAACCTATCACAGAGTTGTTATCCTATTCATGAAACTAATTTGAACAATGTCTAAATTCAAGACATTCTAAACATGAAAGTATTAGAAGGAGAAGCCATGCTTACCTGCTTTCTAATTCAGCATATGGAAAGTCCTGTGGGAGACGAGCATACTAATTCTCAACACAGACTCTAGAACCCAAGAGCCTAAGTTGGATTCAGATTCTGAGACTCTTGGTAAATTGTGTGTCTCTGTATCCTCACATGTAAAACAGAGGTCATAAAAGGTTTGATAGAGTTATCGTGGAGCATAATTGAATACACGGACCTGCAGGACTCAAGTGATGCTTGAGCCCCATGTTAACTCTGACTCCTTTTCCATAGGGAACATGGACCATGGAGGGCGCCCAGCTTGTTGGAAAGTTCAAGCGGGTAGACAATGGAAAAGATCTGAATACCGTCCGAGAAATTATTGGTGGTGAGCTAGTCCAGGTGAGCTGTAAAGATTGTACCTGTCTCTCAAGGACAAAAAATAATTACATAAAATTCTTTAGTTTTGTGGTTGATGAGTTATAACCTTAGTGCAGGCAGTTGCTACTTTTTCCTTAAACTTTCCTGATTAAAGAAATAGGCAGATATGTTCTGATGTCTGTTTATTGACATCAGACCAGGACCCGTGGCAACATAGTGGGTTATGAGTCGGCCTGATAATTACAAGGTTAGCAGTTCAGAACCCACTACAGGAGAAAGATGAGGCTTTTTACTCTGGTTAACAGTAATAGACTGGAAATCCCACAGGGACAGTTCTACCCTGTCCTACAGGGCCCCTTGGAGTGAAAATGGACTCATGGCAGGGACATTGAGTGACCAGAACTTACATGTATTTCAAAGGGAAGGTGTCAATGAGGACAAACCGAAATACTTTTAAAATTGGTGTATCCGATACCAAGGAGCCCTGGTGACACTACGTGCTAGGCTGCAATCCAAAAGTCAGTTCCAAACCACTAACCGCTCCTTGGGAGACTTTCCTACTTCTGTTAAGAGTTACAATCTCACGACTGAATTATTGAATGGTATGACATGTGAATTAGACACCAATAAAAGTGTTGGGGGGAGGGGATTAATCTCAGAAATTCATATGGGGCAGTTCTACCCTGTTGATTTGAGTTATCAGTGGGTTTGGTTTTTGGTATCTTACACAGGAGCGTGGTGTGTGTGTGTGTGTGTGTGTGTGTGTGTGTGTGTGTGTGTATAGTGCTTAGGCACTGGGCTGCAATCCGCCCGTGTGGGCAGTTTGAAAGCACCAACAGCTACTTGGAGAAAGACTGGGCTTTCTCCTGCCATAAACAGTTACAGGGGGTCGCCAGGAGTCAGCACGGACTCCATGGCAGTGAGTGGACACACAGCAGGGAGCCCTGGTGGCCTGTTCCACAAGCGCTGTGTGATTCAAGCCAGCCAGCAGCAAATAACGAGGACAGAGGCACGGTCGCTATGAGTTGAAATCCATTGATGGCAGTGGGGCTGGTATGGTGATGCATGCATAAAAGGCTACCGAGGGAAACATAAACACATCTAAAAATCATCACAATGACAACATTTTTTCCTAATATAGCCTTACATCTTACTGGCTAATTCTGTTTGTTGACACCCTCCAGACTTACAACTATGAAGGAGTAGAAGCCAAGAGGATCTTCAAAAAGGAATGAGATTTGTTCTGGAAGCACAGCCCAGAACTCGGATCCACAGAGAGACGACACTGTGCCAGCACCGCTTTGCTCTCCGCATACGGTCACTGACTGATTCGGACTTTCATTAACACTGGATAATGGCTTACATTTCCAGTCTTGCCAAAACAAAAGGGGGTTGTTTTGCATTACATAAATCAGACATTTACTGCTCTTGCAGAAAAAGAGGTAATTTTTTTTAAGACAGAAAAATGTTTCTCAAACATTGTGTAAGTGCTCTTCTCTAAAATACATTTACAAACGTTTCATGCCATTGGCTCTGGTAGACATTCCCCCGCCCCTCTATCCTCCCCTCCTCTCCTCTCCTCTCACCTTGATACATTAAAGCCGGGGCTGGATGGGGGTCTTTCAAACCTTGCATTGTCAGTGCATTTGTGTCTTGGTAATGTTTATTATTATACATGTAACGTACACTCAACCTGAAAACTTTGAAATATAAAAATGCAAATAAAAGAAAAATCCATATTTCCTTGAGGCCATACCAGAGACAATCGCCATTCTGAATGTAATAATCCTCCCCGTTCTCTTCTCTGGGTAGATATGTACATTTCCCCATTCATGCCATCTTGAATAATATGCTTTGGAGAAGTGGTGTGCTAAATTAATGCACTGTTTCGTATGGCCCCACATTGTCAGAGTTTCTGGTCCCAGTAGAAAGTCAGGATCACTCGAGAAACTTTAAAAAGTGTTGCATTCTTAATCTCGACTCTGAACCTGCTCACTCAGAATCTCTGAAAATAGAATCAGGGATTTTAGAACCCCCCCAGGTGATTCCCATGTTGCCTATTCTCTAACCAGTCACTGGGAACAACTGGACTATCGGACACTCCAAACAACACTCTTTCATTATTACTTCTTAACACATAAACACTGCCACTTTCCAGGGCTCATGAAGTGTTCATTGGGTCCTATTTTCACATGATGTACTATCACAGAGATCATTGGTACAGCTGTGAAGTACCTGCCACATGATAAGTATATGTGGGGATTAATGTGGGGATGCTCATTAGAGGCAAGGAGAGACTTCAGCTCAGGTACTGTGGACATATTGTCAGGAGAGATCAGTCCCTGGAGAGGGACATTATGCTCGGTAAAGTAGAGGCGCAGGGAAAAGAGGAAGGCCCTCAGTAACATGGGTTGACACGGTGAGTGGCGGCAATGAGTTCAAACATAAGAACACTCATGTCGTTGGGCATGGCGTTGGGCCACACCTTTGAATCTGAATTGACTCACTTAGCAACACTGGCAACCACAATGGGAATGCGAGAGTTGGTCTCACTTTGCTTCCTAGTTTGGTGTGTGTGTGGAATTTTCCATAAGAAAATGTTCAATACACACACCTCCAGAATCCAATCAGTTCCTGTCATTTCCTCTGCTAATTACCAGGGTTTCAGGCAATGTTACCTGTTCCCTAGATTGCTACAATAACCCCCTTAAAAGCTGCTCAGTTTGACTTCCCTCCCTACCTCCCTGTCTTATCTTTATCACAGCAGCCAGGCAATCCTTTCCAATCTAATTCAGGTCATGCCTGTGAAAGGCACACAAGTCTGCAATGGCTCCCCACCCGTTTCATTCAGAGAAAAGTTCACAGTCCTAACCATGGCACTTCAGTAGGCCACTTGCTGCCGAGTTGACAGCATGGTGACCCCGTGAGTATCAGAGTATAACTGTGCTCCACGGTGTTTTCAATGGCTGGGTTGTTGGACGGAGCTTGACACCTTTCAGCCTGTGGGTTAGCACCTGAGGGCATTAAACATTTCACCACCCAGAGGCCTCACAACCTACCTGACCAGTGCTTTTATCGTTCATGGAACATCCAAGCCGAGAGCATTCCAAGCCGAGGAAACATCCCAGAGCAAAAAGCCTAAGGTGGGCACCAAATCAAAAACCCACTCTCAGTGACTCAACTCAACTCTGACTCCTATTAACTCTATCTAGGGTCTCTGAGATTGTAAATCTTTATAGGAGGAGATACCTTCATCTTCTTCCCTCAGATCAGTAAGTGGGTTTGAACTGCCAGCCTTGCAGTTAGCAGTTTAATGCTAGTCCCAACCCACTGCTCCACCAATGCTCCTTAAGGCAGGCACAAGCCTTTGAGTTTGAAGAACATGGATGCTCTTGAGAGTCCCTGAGACCATGTAGAGTTGACTAAAACCAAGACAAACATTTAAGAAATATGGGCTAAGTCACTTTTACTAGAGAACCCAGGAAGGATGTCATGAAAAGGGACTGGTTTTAGATTCACCTAGGCTTGTCTAAACTCTTTTCTTTCCCCCTTCTAACGAAAATCCAAGATCTAAACTTCAACTTTTCTGACTTGAAAAACAGGAATTAGTAATGGTTTTCTGAGATTGTGAATGAAACATCCACCATGCTGCCTCCTGCAGAGTGGGCAATTCATCAATGCTACATATACATGACCCTTTCTCTCATAGAGAAAATGGAAGGAAAGACATGTATTCAGTGCCTGAGAAAACTCTTCCTCAAACATTCCTGACAGAATCTTTGTGGCAGAGTCTGGACCCAGTAGGTGAGAACCCTTTGTGCCAGTTCTGTCGGATTCAACTAGCTAGAGTCTTGGGAGCAAGACACTGCACTTTGTTGGGACTTAGTTCAATCATCTCTAAAATGAGAGGGAGGAGCCTGATCATCTCTAAGTTCTCTACTCGGAGAGCACGGTGCCCTAGCAACCTCCAGTGAGCCTTCCTTTCTGTCTAAGCAGCCCTTCTGGTGTGTTCCTCGGGGGGTTGGAATGATACAGTCAGGGGAGGACAAGATAACTTGTACGATCCAAAGCCAAGCTGGCCCTGTGGGCATATTACCTGTGTGATTCCATGAGACCCCAGAAGAGCCTTCGGCTTGCTTTAATGCTCTGCTGTTGCTGTCTGAAAATCCTCAAGGATTTTTCAACAAGGAGCCTTGCGGTTGTCATTTCCCACCACCCGCCATCAACCAGCTTGTAGCCACGCAGTGAGACGCGAGGAGAACTGAACAGTAGGGTTTCTGAGACTGCACATCTTGGCCGGAGCAGACAGACAGCCTCATCTTTCTCCTGCAGAGGGGCTGGGGAGGGTGAACTGCTGACCTCGCAATGAGTAGCCTAATGCTTAACCCAGGGCACCAGGAGGGCTTCTAATATCCCTGCCCATTATGTGATTGGTCCTGTCCCTACCAGCTGACTATGAATAAGAGTAACAGCTATTTTCCTGTAAGCAGAGATACTTGCAGCAAGACATCCCCTGGCTCCTAAAGAAAATGGATGGGTGATTGGAATGGAAGTAGGAGGGGAAGGGTTTGGGGGCAAAGACTCCTCAAACAATTGCCAACAGCTGCTTTAATCTTCCACCGCTGCCTGCTTTCTGCCACGTGTAGTTGAAGATTGCCACCTACTGGTGAGGCACCTGCACAGAGCCATTCAAAGGCTTTGAACACAGCCTCTGCCAATTAACAAGTGTTTGACATAGCACTTTCCATAAGCATGAAATGGTGATGATTAAAGGTCTCCTCAGTTCCACTGTCCATACTAAACAAAAGTAGTAAAAAAGGCTGCTTTTACAGCCTTCTGGGACAATCACCTGGAACTGCTTTTGTCCAACAACAATAAAAATTAAAAACATAATGTGCCAGGCAGCTAGCATTCGATAACAAACACAAGTGGCAGCGAGTTAGGGGAAAGAATATCCTCAAATAGATTCAAGTTCTCAGACAGCTGGGTCAGAGTCTGAATATCTAGCATACAATTACCTAGGAGTAGGGTAGGCACTCATCTGCAAGGAGCCCTGGTGGGGTCGTAGTTACACAGTGGGCTGCAAACTGCAAAGTCAGCAGTTCAAACCACAAGCCACTCCTTCAGAAAAAAACAGGGGTTTCTACTCCCATAAAGAGTTATAGCATTGGAAATTCATGGGGGCGGTCCTGCCCTGCCCTGATGGGGTCACCATCAGTTGGCATCCACCACTTGTCTATCAGCATAAGAGGGTACACCCCCCCAAAAAAATATGAAAATTTTTTCAAAATTACATATTTTCATGTTTTTCGAAAACAACCTTATCACCTTCAAAGTATTCTCTATTACACTTAATACATTTGTCAAATCTGCGATTCCATTCTTGGAAACATTTTTCAAACTCATCTGTTTGGATGGCTGACAGCACTTCCCTTCTACAATGCCAAATCTCTGTCCTATCATGTCCCTCTTCGTTCGCAGAAACAGAAAGAAGTCACACAGAATGAGGTCAGGTGAGTCAGGTGCATCGGGCAAGAGAGGCATGCTGATTTTTGCCAAAAATTGGCTGTGTTAGCAGGTGCATTGTCGTGGTGGCAAAACAGTCCCCCATCTGCCACAAGTCAGGCCTTTTGTCATACGCTGTTATGCAATCTTTTCAGAACCTCTAAATAGAAAATTTGATCAGCAACAGTCTGACCTCATGGGATGAACTCCAAATGCATTATGAGTCAACATTTCATCCATTTGGGAAATTGATGGACATTCAGAACGAGGTCTGTCATCAATCAAAATTTCTTCTCTTTTGAAATGACAAAACTACTCAAACACTGGAGTTTTCCCCATAGCACTGTCATTGTAAGCTGTGTTCAACATCACAACAGTTTCTGCTGCATTTTTCCAGAGCAGCAAACAAAATTTAACAGCCACACGCTATTCTCTTAAATCAGTCATCGCAAAAACGAGGTTCGAGCAAAACTGCTTTCACAAAAAAAATTGTGACTGTGACTGGAAAGAACCTTAAGAACCTTCCCAGGTGACACCACTGGGTGCACTAACTGCCTCTCAGGATCAACAGTGGTGATGAAGAGCAGTGAAGTTCCGGGTGACTTGAAATACCACAAATGGAAGCATGAGGCGTGTACATTGTTGCTTCTGTTTGTTTTTTCCCTTGTAACCCATGTGCCAGATGTGTAGAATTTTTAGCTCAGCACTAAAGAATAGAATGTCACTACCT